GATCATTTCTCAATCTGTGACAAATATATTTATATAAATTGGGAATTCTTATATGAAAGTTTTCAGTTGCATAACGGATAACATTTCAAGAATGCCCTTACATTGGGAATTTTTACATGAAACTTAACTATAAGGTCGTTGGAAAGAGTATTTCAAGAGAACTGCAAGGAACACATTTCCATTGAACTTTTAAATATATTAAATGTTTCTCCTGACCACATCAAAAAAATAAGCACTACTCTCTGTTTTACCCTTAAATAAGGAGATTATAAATGGTTCAAACTAAAGCTGATAAGAACAGAGACCGACTCCATAAGCTAAGGGAGTGGGAATGAAAACCTTTGATATGGACAATCATTTCTCAATCTGTGAGAAATATATTTATATAAATTGGGAATTCTTATATGAAAGTTTTCAGTTGCATACGATAGCATTTCAAGGACACCCCTACATTGGGAATTTTTATAGGAAAGTCAACTATAAGGTCATTGGAAACAGTACACAAGTATTTCAAGAGAACTGGACACATTTCCATTGAACCTTTAAATATATTCTCCTGACAAAAAAAGAGGATTGTATAGCAGTTTCACATCAAAAAATAAGTACTCTTCTCTGTTTAACCCATAAATCAGATATTATAAATGATTCAAACTAAAGCTAATGGTTCAAACTAAAGCTGATAAGAACAGAGACCGACTCCATAACCTAAGAGAGTGGAGTGGGAATGAACACCTTTGATATGGACAATCAATTCTGAGTCTAATTTATAATAAATTGGGAATTCTTATGTGAAAGTCCTCTCTGTTTTACAGCACAAATCAAGACATTATAAATGGTTCAAACTAAAGCTGATAAGAACAGTAACATTTCAAGATAAGATAACATTTCAAAGCCACCCTTACATTGGGATTTCAAGATAACATTTCAAGGACACCCTTACATTGGGAATTTTTATATGAAAGTTAACTATAAGGTCATTGGAAACCGTACACAAGTATTCGAAGCATTTCAAGAGAACTGAAGGGACACATTTCCATTGAACTTTTAAATACATTAAATATTTCTCCTAATATTGAAAACAGTACTCTCTTACCCATAAATCAAGACATTATAAATGGTTCAAACTAAAACTGATAAGAATAGAATACACTGCACCAAAACAAAAAAGTAAAATATTAGTAAAATTGATAATATCATCATATGAGTGAATCCAGCAATTAAACACACAACATTAATAAAATTGATAATATCGTCGAATGAGTGAATCCAACAATTACTATTACATACGCTCAAAATTAAGGCCCTTGTCAGGCCCTTGTCAATAACTCCATAGTCAATCAAAAATAAAGACCTAGCCCATAAAAAAATAAGAGAAATGTACTGAAATAGTCATTGCATTTTAAAACCCTAAAATCTCGATTCTATTCTTCCTCTTCGGTGGCAGAAGCCCCATTGGGTTTGTTATGCTTCCTAGCATACCTCTGATTCCTCAGGAATTTAGGATCCATCTGTAAACCCACCATTTCCGAAATCCATCAGAATGCATCCATATATTAAAAAAATTTGTTGTACAATGACATTAAACCCATGATTGATTCCTAGGAAACCAAATGATAATTATAACAAAATAAGACATATTATACGATTATTGATGGATCACCAAATGTAAAAATAGCAAATTAAAGACAACTAACAGAAATATAATAATAAAATATAAAATATGCAAATGAGCATGCATTGTGACATTAACCCCATGATTTCTTCCTTGGAAATCAATGGATAAATTACCCAAAAGAAAAACATCTTATAAAAATATATACTATTGATGGATCCCCAAATGGAGAAATACCAAATAATGACAACTAACAGAGGGAATAATAAGATGATAGCAAATTAGCACGTATTGAAATAATGAAAAAACCAAAATATCAGAGAACCATAGACTGCGCATTATGAGATCAAGGAAAAACAGATTACCCCTTTTGTGGAGGTGTGCCTCTGCCTTCTGGGTTTCTTGATTCCATTCTTGTGAGCCTTGTAAGATTGGTTATGAGCTGTGTGGTTCTTCGACTTTGCCATTGTTTCCTGACTAAAATATTATTTTTTGCATATAAAAAAAATTTAAGTTTACTCAACGTAATATGTCAAAATGCAAATCAAACAAACAACATAACTACCAGACTATTATGATAGATAAAGAGAAAGCGTCCATGTACACTGGATATAGAGAGTAAGAGAGGGAGAATATTCTTACAGAGAGTGACCCTTATAGTGGAAAGAGAGAAAGGGGGACACAATGACTCGGTAGAGGGAGGCGATAGAGAGATTAACTTAGCGTATCAATAATAGAGAGAGATTGACTCGGGGTATGAAGAGGAGAGAGGGGGCGAGATAGTACCTTGGCGTGTGAAAGAGAAAGGAAGTAGCAGGGTCTTGAGTTGCAGAATGAAATAGCAGCAGAGTCTCTTGTAAACCCTAACCCTAACTTTTCAATGCAGAAAAATGACCAAACACTCCCCACAAATTGTAAAAATGAGATCCCAAATACCCTTATTATTTTCAAAAACTAGCTGACAGTCCAGAGTCAACCGACCCAACCCTCCAAAGAGCGTAAACAGTTACTCGGGGTGTAGTTTGTATAAGGGCCCTAAACCAGCGTTTTAAAAATCGCCGATTCGAACCGG